AAATAAAACGTACACAGACACACACACACACTATGTTACTCTCTCTCTTTTTATAAATAAAAATCAGTCCTTAAATCGATAATCTTGTCTGAAAATCAGCCATCATAATAACAATTAATCAATATGATGTCACAGTTTAACCCATAAACAGTCTACTATACATGAATGAATGTATATGTGTACCTAAACAGATCCACTCTCTCTCTCTCTCTCTGTCATTCTCTTAAACAAACACACACGTATATATATACAGAGAGAGAGAGAGAGGGAGAAAGAAAGAAAACATAGACGGTGAGAGGTAGAGTAAAGAAATTAGTAAAGTAAATAGCGTGTTTGAGAGAGAGAGAGAGAGAGAGAGGAAGATAATAATGAAGACAAATTAAAACTGGCTAGAATAAAGGAAGAATATGTGTGTTTGGATTGTAAACATCTACATACACAATTTCAGACAACTTCAATTTGATCAATAAATAGGTAAATAAACAAACAAAAAACCAACAAACAAATAGATAAACAGACAAACAAAGGAAGGAAGTGAGAAGAGAAGAGGATATATAATAGAATAAGGAATGACAGCCCAGCTGTTGTATTACAAGTACCGTTATGCCTAACATGAAAGAATAGCAGATGATAGAATACTACTATTAATTTTAATAATAATACTAATAATAATAAGAAGAGAAAGACGAAGAAGGACGATTGAATCAATGGAAAACAGAAGACAAGAATAGTACAATCGTCTAGACGTCTGTGTATGTATGTGCACAGTTTACACGTCCATACATGTGTGTGTAGGTAGGTAGGTAGGCACGAATCTTTAAGGATTGTTTCCTCCTAGTTTATTATTATTATTATTATCATTTACTTTGCTCAAGGACATAGAAACATACATGCACCTACATATTCACAAACAAACAAACAAATAAACAAACCTTAAATTCAAACAGGCTTATTGATAAATTTTGATATTTTATTCTATTTTCAAATACAATTACGTAACAGTAAACAAAATGAACGAAAAACACATCTATGTTTAATAGAGAATTATTTAAAAGGGGGGAGGAAGATTGAGAACAATTTCACATTTCTTAACATATTTAAATTAAAGAAAAATCTATGATATTGATAACTCCGCCTGAAGTCTCTCCGGGGGCTACTGCTGGTCCCAAGCCCAGATAAAGGAGGAGGGTTGGGCATGGGGTTAGCGTCCCCATCCCGTAGAAAACTAACTCGCTAAAAAAAACGCTAACCAGAAAGAATTATTCAATGATATTGATAGTAACAACGAATCTATTGAAAGCTAGAAAGTAGTGATATGGAGTAAATATGGTGAGACTATAATTTATGGATGACCTTTGAGTAAAACGCTAAAGTGACCTTGAGAATGTACATCTACTAACTAAGACTAAATGAGGGTTATAAACCAGTGTCAGTCAGTCAGTAACAACGTAGAACTTCGTACGTACATACATCAGTTCGAGTTGCCATACCACATTAGCACAGAGATGCAGTTGTCGATTCAAATCCCATAGTGGTAGAGGTAGTAAGAGTATAAGCAGTAATCGGGAAGACTAGGGTTTGGAGATGTTATTCAAGGAGTATAATCCAGTGAAATAAATTTGGAACGAGAAAAAAGAAAGGGACATGAAGAATTCAGAAGATTAAAATTTGTGAGAACATATAGAGTGGATGCAACTGAGCCATTGCAAACGATTTTGAGCCATGTCATTCAGGGTCTCTAACCATCGGTTGCTATCATCAACCAGGTAGTCTAAACCTACCAACATGACTCAGTCCACTTGTCAGTGACCTCATGGACTTGTGCCATGAAGTGTAATGAATTAGAATTATTATTTACAGTTGATGGTTAAGGTTAGGAATTAGATTTAAAGTTTACATCACGAATTGACATATGATAAAATGCCATAATACTATTTAACCAAAAGGATGAATGAATTTTGCGCCACAATTGAAAATCTGTTATCTTAAATCTGATTGGTTCGTCCATAAATTATAGTCTCGCCATGAAAAGTTTACAACCTTTCATTGTACAAGTTACAAAAAAGTACAATCAGAGACATCGTGGTGGCTGGTAATGTTTATTGAAAAGAATGAACATTATTTAAATGTAAATTCCTAAACTGATAACATTTAACTGGTGATCACTCAATATCTATCGTCAGGATCGACCAAGCAATAAGAAACCGAAATTCGCTCATATATATAATCTGACGTTATACCTTTGGGGTGCCTGCCCAGTTGTTTAAAATTTATTCAATCACCGTTATATCAGAAGATCCTGAAATTGAGACCTGGTGTGGTTGAGGATGTACACTTCTGAAGAATCCCATATTAAAACAAAATAGATACCCAAAGTTTCTTAGTTTTCAAAGACTGTCTAACAAAAGTCAGCTTGTGATGTATACTGTTGGAGGAGTTCCAAAAATATCCCTCATTAAATCCCTAGAGGCCCAGAAACTCCAGGAAACGTTTTGTCCAATCCGCGTTGAATGGAAACTTTGCAGAAATATCTATAAAATGCAAAATCATGTGCATCAGTTTTTATGGGATATTTACCTACCATGCTACTACATTTTGTATGGTTCCAGAAACTTCCGGAAGCCCAAGGCCATTTGAAATACTACTACTACTTTGCGTCTTTTCTCTTATGTTCATGTTGCCATGTAGATGAAAACTTGTGGCTATTAGAAGCGGCTAGAAAACACAATCGAGAGTTCATTTAGCACACTTATCACAATCTATTTAATGAAGTTATTACCGAGCAATTACGAAACGACACATATTGACCATCATTTCTAACGAGCTAGAGCATAATCCTTTTCATAAGAAATATCAATATAACCGTATAATTAAGTGTTTGGCAAAAAGGAACTACGTTGAAATAAAGGTAGACTGGGCTAGCTGAACGAACTATAAAAACACAGTGAATTTTGTTTTTTTTATAAAAACCCCCAAGCATTTATGCAATTCATTATAAAGTATGCTTGGAATAAAAACAGTTTTGACATAGTCCATGTAGAATGTTTAGATCACCCTTATTAATTACTGAATATTCACAACAAATTAGAATATACAATTTTGAGAGGATCGCAATTCTCCATGATATTTGAATGTTCATCACCACCGTAATCAAATGGTTATAGATGATGGCACAAAATTATTTGGGTACCATCTATCTTTCACAACAATACTGGGTAACAGGGGTTCGAACATTCTAGAGGAGATCAATCCACTCAAAACTGTAGATGTGTCTTACTAATTACTCAAAATCAGTATTAAACTTAAGTTGAACATATCCTGACAGCTAAGTAACTAAAGCCAAAGTGACAGGCGTTCCTGAACAAGGTCACTACTAAACTACTTATTTTAAATAAGTAGCTACAACTACCGTCATGATCTAAAAATGCACACTTATTGTACTCAAATTAAAAAGTATCATTTATGCACGTATTTGTTTACATCACATTTGTATTTTTATTTCGCATTTCATCATACAATGCTTTCATTAACAAAACAAACATTGTTCTCTCTCTAAAAAAAATGAATTACTTTAATCTGATTCTAAAACTTAAACTATCGATCAGCTGCTTTCTTCTCATTCAATCCACTCACAGTCAGAACAGTAAGTGTAGGCAAATAAGTAAATACAATGAATGAATGAATGAATGAATGAATGAATGAATGAATGAATGAATGAATGAATGAATGAACAATAGGAACACGTGAATTGTAGTAAGTTTCTCGCTTACGCATAATTCTGAATGTTGTATTCGCCAACCGGTAGAAAAAAAAATACAGACAAAGAAATCAATAACACGGTTGGATTCCTCCCTAAGGTGAATGAGATTTGCAAGTCATTCTTTAGATTATTTCTTTTGTGGTTTGCTGTGTTTTTGGTGTTTTTGTTCCATGGGGAAAAAGTATATATTACACTGAAATGGTAGTAATTTATTTGATTCCTTAATTATTGTTAGTCAAATAATACATTTTTCATGGAAAGGTTTTTTTAGAAATCCGGAATTACACTACGCCTCTCCGTCAGTCTGTAACTAGTAGACTTCAACTGTGTCGAGCGTGAAGTAAATATCGATCGCATTTGGTGGAAGGTGGTTGCGTAATATCGCGAGTTGATTGAAGCTAAATGCGTACATTATTCGATGCCGGGTCAATAGCCTTGAAGACTAAGGGTTCTTGATTGAGACCGAAGGTCTTGAGCTCAACCCCCCCCCGGACAAAAGGATCTTGAATGTACACTGCTGAGGAGTCCTAATGTCTCCTGGTCTTCAATAATTATTTAACTAAGAGTATTCTGTGATGTCAACCATGAAATTCATAAAAACACCTCTAAATCCACTCCCATGCATAGTAATCAACCAATCTTTATGGTGATCTAAAATGTGCATTGTATTAAAAATTTTGTTTAGTTGTAGTTTTTTATGATCTGAAGTTTAATAGTAAGTTAGTTTCATCAAATAAATCTATTCGACTGATCATAATCATTGCAGAGAAAACGTCTCTGTAATCCTAAGTTACAATAATTGCGAGAACCATAGTCAGGTAATCTTCACAGAGCAACGCAGTTCAATCCAACAGTCATTAAATTTATAGAATTATCCAAATTCTTGTTTGAAGACCATTCCTAGCTTTATTTCAGCTCACTCTTAAATCAGCAATCATTCCTCATTGAAGTAGGTCGTACATACTTAACATATATTCTATCCATTTAACTTGATAAAGACTTGCAACTTTATCAATCAATTTGTCATAATTATTTAGTACCCTATATCAAACCTTTACATTACTTACTCGGTGTTCCTAACAAAAACAGAAGCAATGCTTCAAATGTATAAAGTAAGTACAGTTTTCATTATGTTACTACAACTGTTTCTGTCTGTTTGTTTTGTATACAAACTGCACTCAATCACACATACACACATAAAGAAAACAAAAATGTTTATTATTACTGTTATTTTACTTACACTGCTCGTTTAGCCTTACGTCTTTGATATTCACTTTCATCAACAACCCAAACTGAACCAGATGTGGTTTCCAATCGTCGGAAACATTTATGTAATGATAAATTATGCCTTACAGCATTCTGTTAATATAAATAGGGAAAAAAGGAGAGGTGATAACTTTTTTTGATAAAAAAAGTTTTTAAAAAAGGTCAAACAAATGGGAAAAATGTAAAGGACGCAAGTTTTATCACATTAGGATTATGGCAATATTAGAGCAGTGAAATCCCATGATGTGTATTTGGATCTCTCTGCAGGCGAATATAGATGTAGCACCAGCTGTATTCCAATGTCAATATTCATAATATATTGAGATTCAACTAAGGTAGTATATTTCGTTAAAAATGTCAACATGTTATAGACTGAACTATTGGATCCAAATAGTCACAAACTCAAACATGCATAAATCATGAAATGATTTTAGTTAAACAACCATCGGAAATCATAAAACACTGGGCAACTGTTTTGTCCTAATACAGGACTCTTCAACAGTCCCCATTTATGATCTATCCACTATAGATCGAACCCAGGACATTCAGTTTTGCAATATTACAGATTTCTAGAATTTAAAAACGCAAACCATAAAAATGGAGGATCTGTGGTATATAGGTAAAACATCCTGAATTTTATCTCTAGTAGTGAGGATGTGCATGTGTATTGCTAAAGAATCACATATCAAAACGAAACGGTCATTCAGTGCTTTCAAGTTTTCAATGGTGATCTAGTTAAGATCAGTTAGTAATTTAAGTTATGAAAATCCTATGATTAATTCATACCAAACCATTTTCTACTGAACAACTCATCTTTAGCATAAATACTTACTTGCCTATATGAATATCAAGATAATTACTTATAGTTAATCATTATTTTTATCAAATAGTAATTATGTATGTAATCTTTTGTGATCAAATCAAATAATTATTTCAGGTTTTCTATGGTGGTCTAGCTTCAATTGACTCATGATGTCAACTATTGAAATCATTACAATCACCACAAAACCCCTTCTGATACTAATCAACATATGATCACTAGTGACTGGCTTCAAGAGGTATATCCTGAAGTTCTAGTGAGAAGAAGTGACCAATGGAGTTCAATCGGGTCAGTTGTGAGATAGTAACTCACTGATGACAATGGTGGATGTGTCGCTCAATTTCGTGGATTAGTTGAAGTTAGACATTAACACGATTGGATGCCAGCCGTTTCAATGGTGTAGAGGTTAAGTGCTCGCGAGTGAGAATGATAGGTCCTGGTTGGAATCTAGCGAGACGAGGTCATGGATGCACACCGCCGAGGAGTCCCACAATAGAACGGAGCGGCCGTTCGGTGCTTCCAAGTTTTCCACGGTTGTCTAGCTTCAATTGACTCATGATCTCAACTATTGAAATTCTTCTTCCATAAATTTAATGTTATTCAAATCAAACTGACTCTAGTTACATAATAGCAAATACAAACAATTAACCCAATTCAACATTATGCAAATAAACACACAAACAGAGATAGGCAGATAGACAAATATACGTACATGTTGCTTTCATATATAAATGATAAATATTAGTTCTTTCAACAAACGAAAACATCATTAGTTGTCTATCTAGACAATCTACATACTTGTGTAGAACTGTACAAGTGTTCACTTATACATTTTATCCACTGTACCTATCTCTCTACATAAGACAGTTTGTTTATAGAGACTACAAATAAATAAAACTAAGTAAATTAATAAATAAACACCGTAATAGAATTCATTTTATGTCTGTTCACCATCATCGTCATAATGATAACAATAGTGATAGATGTACTTACACATATCAGAGAGACAGAGATATGTGTTCATCTACTTCTAATTGTGACGGAGACTAATTAGGCACAAGCTTTTAACTTGGCATGATCGAAAATTGAAAGCGAACACATCGTTAATAATAATAATAATAATAATAATAATAATAATAATAATAATAATAATAATAATAATAATAATAATAATAATAATAATAACGATATTTGTAAGATTAGCGAGCAACATTTGAAAAAATCCTCCTAGTATCCTATTAACAACATAACTAAACACTAATCACTTTGAAAAGATACTACTACTGGTCATTTAAGTAGTAATATAGTGAGTGGGGGGTGGAGGGAGGATGGAAAGGAAGAACAATTTAAAAAAATAAACATTTAATATGTTGATTGTTAGTGTTTATTTCTATTCTGTAGATGACAACTAATAAATATATTGTAACATCTTGCATTTAAAACACAAACTCACCATGTGTTGTGTGGTGAGAAATAGAAAAAAAACTAGTCGTTTGGTTATCAATATTACTAATATTATCACCATTATTACTACTATTAATTATAAGGGGAATTCAGTAATTGGTTGTTAAGATTTAAATGATTTTTTCTGGTCGGCGTTTTTTAGCAGGGCTGTTTTCTAAGGTATGTGGTGCTGACCCCATGTCCAAACCTCCTCCTCTATTCGGGCTTCGAACTGACAACACGCCCAAAAGGGCTTTCACGAAGAGTCACAGGCGTAAGTAAGTAATCAGGTTGTTAAGATTTAGTCAAAACTTAAGAAGTTATTTTTTGAGGGTTCACATTTTCTCATTATACTGATTGCACAAGCTAATGACTCGATGAATAACATATTGGTCATTTTAATCAAATGGTGCTGAGTTCATGTCCTAATGTGATAAATATAGACAATGGGATATAAATATATTCAGCTTATGACGAGTTCGAAGCAGGACGAAAGGAGCATCCTGAATTCTACTGTTAGTCAGTATAAAACTCTATCAAAAACTCCTCCTACATTTATGGCTGATTATGAAGATAGTACACCACAGAAAAGTTTTTTGAAAGTTAACTAAACGTTTCAGTGAGGACCATGAAAACTAAAAATTTTGGTCAAGAGGAGGAACAATGTCAACCTGACAAGGTGATCAAAACACTGAACACATATTCAGAAGATTCTTAATGAACTGAATTTGAAAAATGTTTACCGTATATACAATTCTAGCAAAATATGTAATTGGAAAGATTCTGTAGGAAACAATAAGGCAACTGAACTGTTTGACTTCTAGATTATCCTTTAAAAGTAATGGAAATGCAGATGAGATTCATAACTTTTTTCACAAAAGAGAAATCTTTTCTAAAGGAACTAGTGCACTTAATTAATGAACACATAATATATACATTAGGCTAATTATCAATACTCTGGCAGACAACAAACCAGCTTCCAGTTGAAGTGAAAATTGGGAAAACACATTGAGAGTGGATAGGTCACAGATTGTGGAAATAACCAAACTGCATAAAAAAGCAAATTCTTAATTGAAATCCTCAAAATTAAAGGAAATGAGGCAGATATAAGAACATATGGCATAGGGAATTGGATGCAGACGTCAAAAGAATGAATACCACTTGGAAAAAACTGGAAAGGAGATCCCAGGACAGAGTAAGTTAGAAAATCCTGGTTTTCAGCCCATGCTCCATGAGGGGTTACAGGTGTAAGTAAGTCAGTAAGAGATTATCGATAAGTAAACAATATTAACAATACTCTAGTTATATAAATCAGCCTATGTGAGACATTTAAAGCTTAATAATCTATCAAAAGATTATGCACTTTAAATAACGAGCTATGAATTTAACCATCCAGTCAGCGTAGAAAGACGTTGTGCATTACTGACGAATTATTCATTCTTCATCTAACTCATACCGTAAGCACCTATCATTCACTGAGTCCAGTAAAGGAAAATAATGCGATGAGATAGATTTAAAGTTTCAACTGTTCACTGTGAGACAACTAATGAGAAATAATGTAAAGACATTGTATCATATTTAAACGTAAATTTCAAATATATGCGGGCTTAACTCTCTTAGAAGAGGGTCAGTTCTCTCAAAACTTCCCGTGTCTTGTTGACGAGTTCCAAATAGCACAAAACCTAGGTTCGACAGGATTTCACATATTGACTACCTCCAACCATCTAATATATCATCAATAAAATACAACAGAAGAAAAGATAGCTCATTTCTTATTCATAGCTTGATCAATACAAGTGGTAAAGATAACTGGAGTATGACAGAACCTAACTGTATTGATACAAAGTATCATTTAAAAACTATACTCAGATGATATGGAATAGTCTATCATAAGATAGGAACACTTTATAGGAATAATATATCGGATTATATTAAGCGGTGACTTGAGTGTGCAACTAATCCACCAACTATTGAGTGGATGAAAGATGTATTACATGTAGCTGGTTGTTGTACTTATTTACTTATTTACGCCTTCTACCCCTCGTCGAGGAATATAGGCCGCTCACCAGCATTCTCCATCCAACCCTGTCCTGGGCAATCCTTTCCAGTTGCTATTCAATCTTTTCATGTCTGTTTCCAATTCTCAACTCTGAGCATTTTTGATCTTCCTCTTTTCTGTTTCCCTTCAGGACTCCAAGTTAGGGCTTGCCTCAACATGCAGTTTGATGATTTCTTCAATATATGTCCTATCCACATCAAATGTCTTTTTCTAATTTCCTCTTCAACTAGAAGCTGGTTTGTTCTCTCTCACAGTAGGCTGTTTCTGATGGTATCCGGCCAACGGACATTGAATATCTTGCGTAGACAACTGTATATAAATCCTTGTACTTTATTGATGATGGTTGTAGTAGTTCTCCAATTTTCAACTCGGTACGGTAGGACTGTCTTTACGTTCGTATTGAAGATTATCACTTCGACATTGGTTGACAGTTGTTTTGAGTTCCTTATCTTCTTCAACTATAGGAATGCGGCCCTTGCTTTGCCGATCCTCGCCTTTACATCCGCATCGGATCCTCCACGTTCATCGATGATGCTGACCAGATACGTGAAATTCTCCACCTCTCCCAGAGTTTCTCGATCAAGTGTGGTTGTGTTGTTGTTCTCTGTGTTGTATCTGAGGATCTTACTTTGTTTCTTTGTGTATGTTGAGGCTTACTGATGCAGAGGCTGCTGTGAAAGTAGTTGCCTTCATCTGCACTTGTTCATGTGTATGGAATAGAAGAGATAGGTCATCTGCAAAGTCCAAATCGTCTAACTGATTCCGAGCTGT